GGTGTTTTGGGTCAAACAATGAGACAAATGGGTAGGGTATTATTGCCCCTTCCTCAACTTTACACCTTTGGTGTATTCAAGCCTCCGGTGGATGAATGATGTGAATGTAGACCTGGAAGAAGGATTTAATTGTGTGTCTTTTGTGACTGGAAGAGGGCCCTTGGAAACACGAGGCTGTTTTCTCGTGACTTTGCCTATATATCTGTTCAGTTTGATAATTTTTCCTTGTATCCTTTTATTGTAATAATTATTAGTCATGAGTTTAACAAATGCCGAGTACTTTGAGTCTTTTCAAGGAGTCACCAAACATAGGGTAGTCTTGGAAACCCTGACTGAGGAAGTAAAGGGAATAACTTATGTCTTTGGCTTGTGAATTATTTAAAGTTAATTATTTCCCAAAGCAACTAGATTTTTACCCTAGAAAGAAAAATATTTAGCAACAATAAAGCCAAGAGGAGGATGAGGAAGAGGAAAGAAAAAAGAAAGGAAGGAAAGAGAGGAGAATAAGATTTGGTCTACATGATAGAAAATCCTCCAACACATTAGTTTCCTAGCTAAGCCCATTTCATTTGTTAGAAAATACATATAAATATATGAGAAAGATGATTCCTGCCCTCTTTGCCTGACCTAAGGTTTCTGTAACAGGCCTGGAAGGGTGAGGCACAAGAGCAGCAGTAGTTAGGTCTCTGCACTGGGAGAATGGCTCTCCCAGCCTATCTTGAAATCCAGAGGACACATTACCCTTAATACGCTGTCACCAGCTTTCTCATACTGGGGCCCTGGACACTTGCATGGCAGATGCTATCAGGGACACAAGATTCAGAAGAGATGCCCCTTTGGCTCTTCAGCTAGTAAGAAGATAGATGTGTAGACTAATGAAGTAGAAATATACATATATACATATATATATATGAATTTTGAAAAGGGCACAAAACCAATCAACGGAAAAATATCAGATTTTCATCGAAAGCTACCAAATCAGTGTGTTTGCCCAGTTTAAGAGGAGGAGGAAGAGGAGAAGACAATTCAAATAATTTAAATTAGGTGGCCTATATTCTGGTCCATTGGTCCATATATCCATGGTGGCAGCATCATGCTCTTTATCTTTGTATATCATGGTACCTCCGTAGCATAAAATGAGGTCGGATATTATGATATTTTTAGCAGCATTCTTTCTGCTAAGGGTTGATTTCACTATGTTATTGGAATTTTGATGAAGATTCTATTGAATACCTATATTATTTTCACATTCTGCCAATAAAGGAGCATGGAAGGTCATTCTACTCTATACTCTTATCTTAATTTCTTTTCCCAGTCTCCTCATGTTTTCATTGTAAATATCTTTCACTCTTTTGGCAAGTTTATTCCTGTTTTGTGTTTTGTTTGGTTTGGGTCTTTTGAACTATTGTAACATGATAGTTTCCCAATTTCTTTCTCAGAATTTATTTGGTATGTATGAATGCCACTGACTTTTTGCTTTGTTTTGTTTGTTTTGGTTTGCTTTGTTTTTTTTTTTTTTTTTTTTTTTTAGACAACTTCTCAGTGTATACCTCTGTCTGGGATGGAACTCACTCTGTAGACCAGGCTGGCCTCAAACTCACAGAGCCCCATCTGCCTTTGCCTCCTTCTGCAGAAATTAAAGATGTGTAGCACTGCACCTGACCAAAGCCACTGATTTTCATATGTTGATTTAGTATCCTGCAACTTTTTACTGAAAGTCTCAGGTTTTTTTAATTGTTATTTAAGAGTTATCTGGTAGAGTTGTAGTATCTTTTAAATATGCTATTTGTAAATAGGGATACTTCAACTTATTTCTTTTCTGTCTTATTTTACATCTGTGTCTTATGTTATTTCTCTAGCTAAGACTTCAATTTCAAGCACTATAGTAAGGGAGGAGAGCCTTAATATCCATCAGTAGAAGAAAGAAATTAGTTGCATATCTTTTGGCCTATATGAAAATCAATTAAAAGTAAAGCAAAGATTTTAATTTAAAGCCTGAAGTGCTAAAACTATGGGAGACACAGAGAATTCACTTCAAGTTATAAGTCTAGGTATAGGCAATAGGACTGCAGCAGCACAGGAAATGTCCAAAGAATTAACAAACAGAACTTCACAAAATTAAACACTTTCTGCCCAGCAAAGAATCAACAAAGCAATCAGACTGCCTATAGAATGGGAGAAAAAATGCCAAGTATACTTCAAATAAGGGATTAACACTTAGAATATCTTACAAAATTAAACCTTCATCAAAACAACAAGCAAACAAACATAAACATGTTCAACATCAAAGAAATGCAATTAAAAGCTACTCTGTGGTTCTACCTCACCCCTCTCAGAATAGCTGCCATAAAGAGAGCGCACAACATCCAGTGTGGTGAGAATATGGGGAAAGAGGAACTCTTATTCACTGTTAGCAGAAGTGTAAGTAAATGTAGCCACTACAACAATACAGAGAAACCCTGTCTCGTAAACCCCCCCCCCCCAAAAATGTAGCCACTATGGGAATCGGTATGGCTGTTTCTGTAAAAAAAAAATTAAAGCCTATATGACCAGCTTTATCACGTCTGGCCATAGATCCAAAGAACTTGTAGACACATTTGCATATTCATATTTATCTTTGCTTTACTTAAATAGTTAGGAAAAGGTAGCAGCTGGACATCCATAACAGATGAGTGGTTAATGAAAATGTAGTAGGATATTCATATACACAATATCATTTTATTCATCTGCAAAGAAAAATGAAATTTGCAGGGAATGGATAGATCTAGAAAGCATATTATAAGCAAGGAAACACAGACTGAAAAAGACAATGTTGTCTCCCATACACGGCTCACAGCTTATAATGTTTCTATGTACGTGTGGAGAGTCAGAGGACAGCCTAGGCATAGGTTATGAAACTAGTGCAGAGACCAACAGAGGAGAGCATAGAGATTGAGGAAAGGTGGAAGGCAACAAGACTCAGAACATCAAATGGAAAAGAGGCTGTGGAAGACGCCACGATGGTCACTTGCATGGGAGAGAAGACGGGAGGCGAATAAATAAACACATAAATTTTGTTTGAAAAAATTTATAATGAAACCCAGTATTCTAATTTTTAAACTTCTAAATAAAAAATCAAAAAGAAATTTATTTAGATGGATACACAAAACAAAGACAAGCAAAAATACCCACAAACCATGCATTCAGGAAAGGACTGGTTCCTAGAATCTGTAAGTTTTCGAGAGTCAACATTGAAAACACAAAGAATCTAATTATAAAATAAGCCAAAACCATGAAAGGCAGTTATTTTATCCAGAAAGATTAAATAGAATATCAGTTCATGAAAAGGTAGCTATCTATAGTAGCTATTAAATAAAAGAGAATTAAAACTATAAAGTGGAGCCGGGCGTTGGTGGCACACGCCTTTAATCCCAGCACTCGGGAGGCGGGTCTCTGTGAGTTCGAGGCCATCCTGGTCTACAAAACAAGTTCCAGGAGAGCCTCCAAAACAATACAGAGAAACCCTGTCTCGAAACCCCCCCCAAAAAGAAACCATAAAGTGGCCTGAAGAGATGGCCCACCCATTAGAGAGTTTAGTATACAGCATGAGAACCTGGATTTGGGCCGTTGGCACCTTTGTAGTGATACAAAGCGAGGCATGCATGCTGTAATTCTAGTGCTGGAAAAGCAGAGGCAGGAGGATGTCTGAGTCTTGTTAGCTAGCCAATCTAGCTGAATTGAAAAGCTCCAGGTTTATTGAGAGATGCTGTATCAAAACACAAGCTGGATAACTTCTGAGGAATAACCCCCAAACTTGACCTTTGCCTTCCACACACAAGCCTGACAACCGGAGTTTGAAGTCAATCCATCTGGTAGAAAGAGAAAACCAACTCCAGCAAGTTGTTCTCTGACCTACACACATGTGCCATGGCTCCTGAATGTCCACACACTTGCAAACTTAACAAAAAATGTAATTAATTTTTTCCAAAATTACAGTGAAGTATAAGGCTGTATTCCTACATTTCCAAAAGGTACGAATTCTTGTGAAATGAACTAAGTCAACAGGAATGAAAAGATCTTCTGAACCATGAGTGGGCATAGAGGTGGCAAATGAGAGCACAAATTTTACATGAGCTATCAGTCATAGTGAAAGAGGGGAAGTGGGTTACTATACATGGCTCCTTGCAGATGGATGCAGAGGCTGCATCTGACAGCAGAATGAGCCACACGTTGATTGAATCAAGACATGACATTCCCCTGACAAGTAAAGCAGTACCACCCACTCAACTGAAGATTTGATGGAAGTTTAACAGGGCAGAAACCATCAGGATCGAGGGACGATGATCATCAGGAAGGCTCAGGAAAATGGGGATCCTTCATATCCCAAGTAGGATATGAAACACAATGCAAATCAGGTCCTACTGGAAGCAGCAGTAGGGAAGGTGAGGGCCAAGGACCACAGCACAATAAAGTCTGGATCTAGCGGTGGTGGTGGTGTTGGTGAGGGAAGAGGGCTGGCGGGGTACAGACATAGTAACTGAGTTGGTACCTAGCTGATACCAATGTTAATGGTGGTCAGCAATATTGGGGTTGGACTGGCAAGGATCATAGAAAACCTGGGACAGCCAAGAGTTTGTTCATTAAATATTTTATCAGCTCTTTATCCTGCATTAACTGTCTCAGGCATTGTGTTGGGTGGATATAAACTGAAGAGTACCCACCATATATCTAATTTAGTGACAGGTTCAGGAGTACAAAGGTTACTGTATTATGATTCCTAATCCTCAAGAAATCAGAATGAGCTGAGTATCTAAGAAGAAATAACCATGGCAGTATGGTATTAGAGGGAAAGAAGCATAAACTGTCATCTGATGGTATAGTCATGTTGCTGGTGCTATAGGAGATCTCCAAGACCCACATGGCTGAAAGACGGAAGTGACTCCCAAAGGTTCCTACCGTGATGCATGGCACGTGTGCGCACACACACCCACACACACACCATAAAGGGGAAAACTTTCAAATATGTTTTAATTCCAATAGTTTATTCAAATTGGGAGCCTGTAATCCTCCAAGGTATCACAGAAAAAATGATGTTATAGGAGGAGAATACTTTTGTTGTCGTTGTTCTGAGAGTCAAGATTACTTAGAGCCAAGAGATTCCTCTTTTGAAGTTGTGGGATCAGAAAACTGCCCACAGCAATATCTACTTGATCTATTCGATGACACTACCATTTCTAACTTGTTGCAGCATTTCCCTAGTGAGGACCAACACGAATCGAGAGAGAGGGCATGGCCCTGAAGTTTCAGATGCGGCCATCCTATTTTAATCAGTCCTTGTTGGCACCTTCATGCAAAGTGCTGTTACGTTGAGCATTCCGAGGTACGTAAAAGCCAAATGACCATCTATAATTGTTTTTTGGACACAAGGGTGTTCAAAGCTGAAATGAAGAACCATATATAGGGTGGAACATTTGTTTATTCATGCTTCTCTTTTCTTCTTGAAAACAATGTGAATTCCAAACACCTCGAAATGTAATTTCCATCTTTTGAGACCTGATCAAGAGTTCATGAAGGAGAAAAACAAATGATGTGACAAAGTTATTACAGATAAAAGAGTTGAATTAAAATATACTCTTGGAACGAGGGAGGAGGGTTTAAAGAAGCTATTTCAAATAAGTGAGCAAACCAGAGTTCTGTGACAGGCACGTGTGCTCCAGGGAAGATTGTATGGGCTGGGATGGCAGGTGGAATCCCGCCAGAGATACAGACGTAAAGATGACTGGATCCGCGGCCCTGGGAGAAAGCTTCCTAACAAGACACATCGCCTTTATAACTATTGCGGCTGGAGCACAAGGGCACCTTCGTGTCACTTTGATTAGTCGACCTATCTTCCCCAGTTTCCATCTCGTCTTCGCCATTACCCCGGTCACTATAACTCGTCCAAACTACAATCTGGAGAGTGCAGAGAGAAGAAGCCGGTTACACAGCACCGCGTTCTCAGCTTTTCCTCTCACAAGTTTTAGTGTCTAGCAGGCACCGACGTAGACACAGTCTCAATCAGCTGGGCGGCCGTCCCCACCGGGCGGCCAATCACTTCCCAGCGCTGCTCTCCCGCCCGCTCTCACCGCCCCTGGGAGCTGTCCCTCTGCTGATCCCGGCGCACCCCAATCTCGCTGCGCCGGCGACAGTGCCCCGGTCTCCCTCCGCCCTGCAGGAGGAGGAGGAGAGGTCAGCTGTCACGCAAGACCCCCAAGAGAGTCTCAGCAGGCGCCGGGCGCGAGGGAAAGGTCAACCCTGAACGGCAGGCGCGCACCCGGCCTCCTGACCCCGGAAGTGATTCTCCCCGACTCACTCGATAGGGGCGGGCACAGCCGCGGGTCTAGCCCGGCATGCCCTGGGCTTCCGGTGACCTCTGGCCCTTTTCAGTCGTCCGCTCCTGCTGCCTGGCGTGCTCGCTCGCTCGCTCGCTCGCTGCCTCGCGCGTTTCTCTCCTCCACGCTCCGGGCGACCTCCCCACGCTGCCCGGTGACCGTGGCGCCCGCGACCGGCGCGGCGGCGGCGGAGGACAGTCGTCATGGCCGCCTCTAAGCCCGTGGAGGCGGCGATGGCGGCGGCGCCCGGCTCTGGAAATGGAGTGGGCGGTGGCGGTGGCGGCGGGACTGCGGGCCCCGGCTCGGGCGCGGGGACCCTGTCGCGATGGCACGTGGCTCTGGCCATCGGGGCGCCCCTGCTGCTGGGTGCCGGGGCCTTGTACCTGTGGAGCCGAAGGCGGAGGCGCCGGGAGGCGGGGGGCCGGGGCGACGCCGGCGGCCTGAAGCGCAACAGCGAACGGAAGACCCCGGAGGGCAGGGCCAGCCCGGCCCTGGGCAGCGGCCACCCCGACGGTTCTGGAGACTCGCTGGAAATGGTGAGAAGCCGCCCGGGCCATAGCGGGGGGGAACGAGCGGATGCAGCTTCTCCTTCACCCGTTGCGCGGGTGAGGGGCCCTCCCACCGGTCGGAAACTGCCGAGTGGCCGCAGAGGACTTTGGAGTCGGTGCTGGTGGCCTTTGTAGGGAATGGAGTAGCAGCTCCCGGCAGACTGGCGTAGAGGTTTTTCTTTACCAGTTTCCTCTGGGAACCCACGGAATCTTGTGCTTTTATCCTCAGTGACACAGCATTTATCCCTCGTGGTGTAGGTACGGGAAACACGAACAGATGTAATAGTTTTCTTAGGCGAAGGAAGGCAAATGTCACGAGCGATTGGACTTGGGACGTGCGTTGTTGTTGTGATTTCCCCAGGGCAAGCACTTACTAAGAACCGTTTAATAGCTAACGAGCCATTCCTCTTTGAGGTGAGCAGCTACAGGAAAAAATGGGAAAACTCATTATGTAGCGTTGTATGTAGGAAAAAAGTCAGCTTCTGAAGAGTAAAGTAGTGGTGGCTCCCCCACAGCCGCACACTTTGTCCGAAAGCATCTTAAAATTCTCTATTTCACTTGGACACTTGTATACATGTGTCCAAGGCTCATGTGTCTGATAGTCTCTGATGTTAGAACAGGCATTGGCGTGATGAATTGCTTTGTCTGATCTGGTGATCTATTAAATCTTGACAAATCTGACAGCTGTGTGGAGAGTTGGCATGCCTGCGACTGAGTGAGGTAAGGGAAGTTATCTGCGTCTGTAGCTGTATGGTGGTCTTAGCAGAGTAAATCGAGTTCAGAGAGACTTACCGGTAAATAATTCCAGGTACATACGCAAGTGAATTCTTTGTAAACGTGCAACACTTATGTTCATGAGGGAAAAAATGAATGGCAGTCATTTTCATTTCATCGGTCCTGAAGGCCCGTTCGTTTGTCTGTTTGCTTGTTTGTACTGAGTAGCTTCAGAAGCTGTGATTTATGACTATAGGGATAGTGCTTACCGTGTGAGAGTCACTGTACTGGCCCGAAAGGAAGCCGCTTGTTCCTATGGGGAAATTAGATACCTATTTCTAACTAGAAACTCATGATGGCAGGAACCGAGGTGTTAGGAATTGAGATGTCATTGTAGATTGGCCTGTGAAGCATTGTTGTTGGTGAGCCCACCTTATCTCACTGTCTTCCTAGCAAGCTAAGAGGATTAAGATAATAATCTTATCCAGCCATAAAATGTTAGACCAAAGCCAGGCGTTGGTGGCGCACGCCTTTAATCCCAGCACTTGGGAGGCAGAGGCAGGCGGATTTCTGTGAGTTGGAGGCCGGGCTTGGCTACAGAGCGAGTTCCAGGACAGCCTCCAAAACGAGAATCCCTGTCTCAAAAAACAAAAAAACAAAAAAAAAAAATGTTAAACCAACCAAAGTTTAACATTTAGGATGAAAACCTGGGCACTGGCAGCGCCAGCAGACTATGCTGGGCCACCCGACCCCAAGAAGCCAGTTTCACAGATAAGTAATGGTAAAGAGCAGAGATTGATTTAGTGTGGCCACACTGGAAAGAGGGACAAATAGAAGGTTCCAGTGACCCCTAAGTTTGTCTTTATGCTGTGCTCACGAACTTAAGGCTTAAGTAGAGGCAGACTCAGGCAGGTGGTGTACATAATTAAGCTTCCCTGGTTAAGAAGTGATGTGTTTGGCTTTTGTCTCCATCTGATCCTGTTAGGGGGTGGTGGGAGAGCTGAGTGAAGGCTTCCTAGAGGGATTAATCTGGTTCCGACAAGGTGATTACTTGTATTCCAGGGCGTGGACTCGGCATCCAGGATAATTACCCTCATCTGAAGGGTGCTCTGCCCTCTGAAGTTTTATTCTAACTGGAGTCCAAGGTGACTCAAGGAAAAAGGTTAAGGACAACCAAACCTCTGTGTTTAGTTGAACTGAATGTGACAGACAATGAGTGCAGAGATGTTGGGCTTTTATCGTATTTTCAGTCCCCTTTGGGCCAAAGTGAAGTTTTAAGTGTATTTTTAGCAAAAAGCAAATGTAAGTGCTTGTTTCTGGTTTGATTGTGAGTGCCAATGAAAGTGGTTGTCAAGGAGCTTCTTTGACTTGGTTATCCATCTGTATATATGAAATTTTATACATGCAAAAATTTCATATATAAAATTTCTGTTTAATTGTAATCTGGCATCGTAGATAAATGAAAGTTACATAAAAGTTTTTGGTTCTGTAGTAATCATAAATGAAACTAAGTTAAAAATAAGGGAGCTGGCCTGGAGAAGGGGCTTAATGGGAAGAGTGCATGCTGCTCTTGCAGAGTACAGGAGTTGATTCCCAGCCCCCAGCCTAACAGCTCAAGCCTGTAATTTCAGCTCCGAGGGGATTCAGTGCTCCAGCCTTAGGGGCACCTGCACTTGGGTGCACATAGGTGAGCATGCACATACACACTTAACAATGAAATGAGTGGTTTTACATGTAAAACTGTTTAGCATCACACTAGTTTTGGCCACATCCTCTATTCCAGGCATGCTTTTACTATTGGTTTTGAAAGAATTAGTAAATTCTCCTTCAGAATTTACATTTCTTTAAATTCTCTTTTTAGTTTTGCAGCATTGTCTACAGCAGTACTAATGATTTTCATATTTTGCAGGTGGTTTATAGTTTTTAATCAAGAGTAATTATAATTGACGTGACTTCTGTTGAATTCCCTGTGTAACTTGAACTGCTTTAAGATGATTATTGCATTTTTTACCATAGAATTTAGGAATGTGGCCGGGCGTTGGTGGTGCACGCCTTTAATCCCAGCACTCGGGAGGCAGAGGCAGGCGGATCTCTTGAGTTCGAGGCCAGCCTGGTCTACAGAGCTAGTTCCAGGACAGTCCCCAAAACAATACAGAGAAACCCTGTCTTCAAAAAAAAAAAAAAAAAAAGAATTTAGGAATGTGTTCCTGAAATCTTGCTTGGAATTATTGTTCAGCAAGGCAACATAAAAAACCTTCGTATTTTCTAATGGAAATGTATGCTCTTAGCTGTTGGTAAACAATAAGTATTGAAGACTATTTTTGCCTTTCAAAACTTATTTTCCTTAGAGTCATTATGAGTGTCAGAGTCTAACTTGGCTGCTCATCTAACTTGTGTATTACCTATGGTTGGAGGAATTGCTCAGTATTTGAATAGATGAGCATTCATTTCAGCTGAAGGAAAACTAGAAGGTTTCTAATGCCATGTTATTTCTCCAGCTGAGCAATAGTGACATTTTAAAGAGAATTAAGGAACCAGCAAATATCTGTTCAGGGTTCAGTATTGGAATGAATGGAAAGCCTGTTTAGTTTTGTCTTGGGACTTTGTTTGCCCAAATGTAAAATGAACTAGAGATATTATAGTGTTTCTGTCTATTGGGTTAGATGTTTGTGTGTGTGTGTGTGTGTGTGTGTGTGTGTGTGTGTTGTGGACCATATCCAAGTATCACTTTTATAAGGTAGCAAAAACTTGGAAGAAAAATGCAAAGCTACTACTCATGTTGGTTTTAAGTAATCAGAATTTCAAAGTATCTTTAAAGAAAACATCTGAGGGTTGATAGTTTCTAAGATTGAAACCATATTCCATTTAAACAGTTGTAAAATTTACCAGTGTTCCATCTTGCCCCAGTAGTTTTTTCAAACTTGAATTAGAGTTTTCAAAATTGGGAGATCTCTTTTATCCATAACGCTTCACTCTAGATTTGAACTACATCAGAGGACTAACAAGGACACACTAAGCATGGTATCCAAGTTGCACTAGTGAATGTGCATTAGTTGATTTCATGACTTTAAATCCAAAGGTAAGAAAAAGTAGCCATTGTGATGTTCAAGATTTTTAGTCATACAACTACTATATTACATGAAGTGATTGGAACCACAGGTCTATGCCAGAAATAATATTTAACATGTTAGTGAAAAGGTTATGATTATTTGCTGTGATTACCTTCCTTGAATGAAATTATTCTCTTTTCCTAAATGTTGTTTTTTCTAGTTTATTTCTCTAGTCTCTTTTACTTATATGTTTGTGTGTGTGCAAGTATGGTTATGTGCACCTGAGTGAAGGTGCATGCCCCTAGAGACCAGAGGCATCAGATTCCCTGGGGCTGGGGTTAGAGGCCTTTGTGAGCCCCCAGCATGGATGCTTGGGATAGAACTCAGGTTCATCCTTTGCAAGAGAGGTCTGTATGTGCTCTTCACTAAGCTGTCTCCTCCAGTACACCATTCTTTTTTTTTTTTTTTTTTTCTTTTAAGGCAATGTCTCACTGTGTAACCCTGGCTGGCCTCAGACTCAGAGCTGTCTGATTCTGCTTCCCAAATACTGGGATTAAAGGCATATACTCTCTGGCTTAGCTCTAGTCATTTGTTGAAGACAATCACCTTGGGTTACTGGTGACATAAGTAATATTTGTTTTACCATTAATATTTTATTCTGCCTTTTAGTAATTCTATTGATGAGACACATTTTCCTGATTTTGTTTTTTTAAGTATCACTGATTATTAGTATTTTTCCAGTCTCTTCTGCTTTTTCCTTTTAATAGTCTTCACAGTTCTGTTATGAGAATTACTCTACCAATTCCAATCTTCTCAGAAGGTCTAATTTGAAAAGAATCTTCATTTGTCTCACAAGTATTTCATAGACTCCTCTTTTTTCTTATCGTACCTCTTCTTAATTAGGTGTGCCTCATAAATTGTACCAAGCATGACCTTACCTCTTTTTACCACTTTTATATTCTCCATGTCTAACCAGAAAATAACATCAGAATATTTTGCATCGTGCCATAAATAGCTGACTACTCCCACTGCTGCTGAATGGTTACTATCTTTTATTATTTTTATTACAGTTAACTCTATCCCTGTTTCCTTTATCCATGGATTCCACAGATGGATGATCAAAAATATTTGGGGGGGACTTGTACAATTATTAAACATGTACAGATTATTTTTCTTACCATTTCCTAGATAACCCAATAATGATTTATGTAGCCCTTACATTGT